ACCGGAGGGTCAGCCCCGAAATTGGGAAGTGTTGTCATCGTGGAGGCTGTCACAACGGCGCTGGGGAACCCACTTAAGTAAATATGCAAAGAAGTAAAATAGTTAAATGAACAACCAGTGAATCAGTGTTGATAGCGCGGTGATTATTAAGTAACCCAGAGGCGTTACTGGGATCACTGCTGCTTTTAGACGTCAAATATCTGTGATAGCTAAATGGGAAGCTCAGCTCCGCACCAGTTTTTGGCGATGCTCGCACCTAGGTTGCCTGATCTGCAATAAACAGTGCCGTGCAAATAAACACCGACCCCAAAAACTCCCCCAGGTTTGCTCCGCAACTCGCGTTCGGAGCCGTACCTGGCTAAAATATGCGGTGATGTTTTTTAAACTAATATTTACTCCTGCTAGACCTGCACAGCCACTGCGGCTCTGGGGGAGGGAGCGGGAGCAGGAGCCGCTCTGACTCACGGCTCAGCAGAGTTGTTAACTCGCTCCCGGCGCCCGAGCCCTCGTCCCGGTGTGCTGGGAAGAGTCCACCTTGGCTTCCTGGGCTGCAGGCAGGCAGCTGTGCTTGTAAAGTCGGCAAACTGGCTCAAAAAGCCACTGGAAAATAAATACTTTTAGTGCATTGCACTGAGGTTTTTTGGGGGTTTTTTTTGTTGTTGTTGTTTTTACCCGAATTACTTTGCAGAAGAAAGTTTGCTTTCAATAGCTCGTGCACAGATTCGGGATCCTTCCATTCTTTAGGATGCTCCACTGACGGAAACCCCAAAATTTAAAATATCCTTGCTTGTAGGCGGTCTCCTGCAATACCATGGGAGTTGTGGCACAAGCAAACGCAGCCGCTGGACTTCTTGGGAGAAGTTTCCTTTGCCTTGCTTGCACTGCTGCATTTGCCTTCCCGGTGCGAAGCACGTATACAGCCCCAAAATGTAACACCAAAACATCTTCTCTGCATACTTCTGCACAAAGCCATGATGCCTCTTTGTGCAGTCTCTTATAAATAGACTAACTGGACACTGGTAGGGGTTTTAGTTGCCTTCCTCTGCGCTTGGCTAAACAAATGCCAAACCTTCTTAAATCTAAATTACTCGAAATATTTACTGTTGAGACGTCGTCCAAGAGGAGGATAGTTAAAACATTAATTCCTCGCATTCCAGTGTATTAGGGCTTTACCCTGCAACTTGCTGAGCGCCAGAAATGGGACTTTGCAGATTCAATTCCCTTCCCCCCAACTAGACAGCCACCCCCCTGCTCCCCCCCCCCAAACTTTAATGCTTAAAAAAAAAAAAAAAAGGAGGGAGAGAAAAAGAAAGGAATGCACATCTGGGCTAAATATTTGTTAGAAAGTATTCCCAGGATAGTGGGAGTTCTGGTGCCAGAGAGGAATTCCTGCGGGTTTGATCCATTGCATTATGTACTTGTTCCAAAAGCTGTTTTCAGTAAAATAGATGAGTAAGAAGTCTTAGCCAAGAACAGAATGTCTTTTTTGGCAACTAAAAGGAAGATAGGATTATTTTATTTCAGGTTATGTAAAAAAAAACAAAAAAAAAAAAAAAAAAAAGAAGGAGAAGGTGGTAAAATCCTCCGCTTGGTGGTGCCTGCAGAGATTTGCAATGGTAAGCACAGAGATATATTATTTTTTTTTTTCCATGCTGCTGTGCACATTTTTGTGACTTCTTTGTAAGACATCAATGTGGATTTAAGATTACTTGTGGAATTACTGCAATTAAAATATCCTTGCTGTGTCTGAATTGGCCTCTGGGTTTTTTTGGCTGAGTGGCAAGTGGTTTCGGCGACATGGCTTTCAAGGCAGGGTCCAAATCGCTGGCGTGAATTCTGCTGCCAAGTGCCAGGGCAAGGAGGGGAGAGGATCATCTCTGCCTTGACAGCGAAACCCTCGTCTGGAGGATTTTTTGGGGGTGGATACAAGCAGATACCGATGGGTGCAGCCCCACTACATCACATATAGCTCCTGAGAAAGATTTGAAAACTTGACCTGGAAAACGTTGCAGCCGTAAATCAGCAAAGAGAGGGAAGGTGTTACAGGGGAAAATTAATGTGTTTTGGCTGGTGGGCAACAGGTTCACCAGCTTTTTCCCATTAATTGAGAATCATGTTTGCACGACACCTACTTTGCATTAACAAAACAATAGGTGTTTTGAATAAGACAGCATGCCAAAGGTGTTTTTTTTCCTATGCATTTGGCTTATTCTCATAGATGGGAGATGCACACACCTCCCTTCATCCTTCTGCCAGACGTGGCTAATCAGGGATGATAGTATTTGAAAGAAAAAAAAAAAAAAATTGCACCATCTCATACACAGCTTGCCTTGGCTCTGGCTTGGTGTTTGTGTTAATTCGGTTAGCTCGCTGGAGGAAAATGCTTCGGTTTTTTTCTTGCTGTGTGGTTTGGGGGGAGGCGGCGCGGCTCGTGATGGGCGCTGTTGGGTTTGCAGGTGACCTGAGCATCAGGGCTGCGTCGCTCTGCAGCATCGCGATGTCCACCTTCTCGCTTCTCTGGGCGTCCTGCAGACCAGGTAAATCCCAGTAGAAATGAATGCCATGTGGGTTTTTGGTTTTTTTTTTTCGGTCCGAACCTGGGAGTTAACCCCATTTCAACAGTGTGAACTTGGCTGCTCCACCACCCTCCAGTGTCTCCCACGAGGCTTGGATGTGGTCAACATCACATCTCCGAGGGCGTTTGCTGCTGGACATGTGTCCTACGGGCTTTTTGGGGAGCTGGTTTCTCCCTCCCTTGGCTAGACAGTTGCATCCTTCACCGGCCACATCAGGGATGTCCTCTGGAGCAGCGAGCACTTGAAGCCACGTGCGAGGGTTTTTTTGCAAAGTTTTTTGGCCGCTCGGGGTGGACGGGGGGGTGGACGATGGGGTCAGCTGGTATGAGCAAACCTCCGGCTGCAGCCCAGGCTTTGATTCGAAACCCTGCCGTAGATTTGGAGGGTTTCTTTGCTCCTGGTCGTTTCTTAAAGCAAATGTCAGACTAAAAAAAAAAAAAAACCAAACACACTAAAAATAAAAGGTTTGTAAATGCAGCCAGGTAGCTGGTTTGGGCGTCGTGGCTGCCTGCGAGATCGCACAGGCAGGAAAGGGGTTAATCCAGGTGTCAGGTAGGACATGCGCTGCTGGGGCTGGAGGGTGGCCAAATTCACCTTCTCCCCATCTGTTTTGGATTAAGGCCAAAAAACCAACAACCCCTCCGTGGCAAAACCACCTGCAGCTCCGGGGCTGCCGAGGAGGAGGAGGGATGGAGGGGATCGCTTCTCCCCGGCCCCCCGGTTCGGGGAGCCGTAGGGGATGCAGCAGCCCCGTAGGCGCACGTTGCAGTGAATGATTAACTTCTTCAGAGGAACTGCTTCATCCAGGGATTTTTTTGACCTTTTAGGGGACTATTGTCTCCTGGGAAGCTGTTGGTAAACATAATTAATGAGGGCTGGCGCTGGGCTTTGAAGGCACCGCGTGTGCTCCCGTCCTGCTACGTGTTACAGCGCGGTGCTGTCGAGATACTGAAGATCCCATCGTGAGGAGGTTTTGAACCCGGTGTGGTTTCTGTGCTGCCTGCTCAGGGCTGTCAGCAGGGCGGGTTTGGTGGGTTTTTTTTTTGTTTTTCAGAGACTTAAATTAACTTCAGACATGCAAAAGAGGGTGAGAAAGTGCGATGGTTATAAAGAACAAATTTGGCCGGTGGAGGAGTTTCAGCTGGGATGGGGACTGGGTGTCTGGCACCCCCGCATCTGCACTGTCACCGTCCTGGGACTGTATGTGTCTGAAGCATCCCGGTGTCATCCGAATGTCAGGGATGCTTTAAGTTTTGCCTGCTACCTCTGGTTTTACTGAAGCGCCGGGGTGGCTGGTAGCATCCCGCAGTGCCGGGGCTCTCCCCTCCTTGCTGGAGGGAGTTTCTGGGCTGGGGCTGCATCTCTCCCACCATGGTTGTGCCTTACAGCCTGATGGGATGGGGTCAAAGCAAGTCACTCCTCTGGCAGCAGCCTGGTTTTCAGCTTTGGGTATGGCTCACTGGCTTCAAAATAAGCTGGCAGTGACTTCTGCAGAAGCAGAGGCATCTGGTGCGATGTTGCCAGCGTCTAAAAGGAGAAACAGTCCATCGTCTGTGCAAGAGCATCCCAGGTTAGGTGGGCTCTGAGATCCGTTAGCCTATTGTAGACAAGGTGTGTAGCTTTTGTGCAATTTCAGGAGACAAAAATCCCACAAACTTTATAAAAGCAAAGGTTAAAAGATGCAACAAAGTTATTTTGGGTTTTTTTCTTTTTTTCTTTAAGATGAGCAGGGGAAAAGCATGCAGGAAATTTAGGAATCTAGACAAGTACAGAGCTCCTTTGTTTTTAATTAGCTGCGTTGTTTTTAATTGCTACTATACTTGATACATAACCCAGCCTAAACAAGAATAGCTTATTGAATGGGGGACTGACTATGAAAGGCACCGTGAGGAGAAGGGCTGTTCTTCACAGTTGATATATTTGTATTTCAGTGCTTCATTTAATAAGTCTGTTTCCCCAGGGGGCTGTAGCAAGTAAATCATGCCAACAGATTGTTCTCTGCAAACTGGCTTATTTTTGTAATTAGCAAGACGTTAAAGCTGTAACTGCATAGAAAGCGATCTGGGTAAGAAGTTAACATAAAAGAATTAGTAAGCAAAATGTAATACTTATTGTTTGATAACATTTGTGTTGATTGAATTGGTTTCTGGACAGTTTGTTGTCTGTGATAGTCGTTTTTTCTGCAGCGTCATAAAATGGGAGAGAAATTCAGCAGGTGTGCACAGTGTGGGTAGTAAGGTGTGGGTTTTTTGGGGGGAGAGCACTTTTTGGGAACCACACCTGCATGGCCAGGTGGACCTGGTGGAGAAGTCTTGCTGGGGGTTAAAGCCATCCTGCTCATCACCAGAAACTGCCAGTATTTCCTTTGCTTGATTTTGCTTTTCTCCTTTGTTTTCCAGTTATATGAAAATTTACGGCATCACCATGAGTGGGGTTCTGAAAAGGAAGTACGAAGAGCTGGGGGATGACAGCACCTACTGCTCCTCCTCCTCCTGCTCCCCCCTCTCCTCCTCGGCGTCCTCGGGCTGGGAGTCGGATGAGGAGAACTCCCGTGGAGAACCCAAGCCCAGCTCTGCCTTAATGCCCAGCTTCACCCGTGAGTATCTCCGGCAGCCCCTTTCCCGGGATCAGACATGCCCACGCACGGGTTTTTTGTAGCGTGGTGGTGGGTCGTCACCTCTGTCCATGCAGAGACCCCCTTGGAGCACATCTTCAGGGGTGGAAGTGACCGTAACACCAGCTCCCTGTCATTATACCCATTTATCTTGGTTTTATAATCAGCCAGCATTCCTCATCCCTTCCTCCCAGCGTTTATCATTCCTTTATAACGTTTTTGCTGAAGTCCAAATTTCCAGGAATAGAAACCCAAAAACCTGGGTGTTATATGCAGGTGCCTCCAAGCCAGTGCTGTAGGACCATCCCACCACCCCTCAGTCCCCTGTCAAGCTATTCCATAGGCAATGACTAAACAGACAGCAAAGGCCCATAGCACTGTTTTTTAAAAATGATTAACCAGTAGCGTAATTACCATTTCAGAACCCGTTTCCTATGTAAGTTGGGTATTTTGCCAAAGAACACGACACGTTTGACATTGCCTCCACTGTTAGTACAGATAAATGCTATTTTGTTTTCCCAGCAGTATCAATTTTGAGAACTTTTAGGAAAACACACAGAAGACAAGGTTGTAAAATCCTTTATCTGCCATGCAAAGGGAAAAATAAAAAATACAATAGGGGACCATCTTCACAGAGGAGAAATAGTCCAACCTAGTAAATTATACTGAACACCCACTGTATATAGCAGTTAAGGTCCACTTAGCAGACATACACAAACACGCAGTGGTCTGAAAACGCTTTAGAAGTCTTGTAATAATAAAGAGTCTCATTCTTGCTTGTCTTCCCAGGTTCTGTGACAAAACAATGAACTTTTTGTATTCTCTGGCTCAATTTGAAAAGGGTCAGGAATGGGAAAACAATTTCGGAGGGGGGGTGCGGGGAGGGAGAAGCAAATGCCAAAGTGCAGCAGCTCAGCCGATAGATGATTGCGGTGGTTAACTTGCCTTTTGATAAAGAGCTAATGTTTTAGAAGATTGAGTCAAGGTTATTATGAAAATGCAACGCGCAGTGCAAAGATATCATCAAAGCGACTGCAGAGCCCAGTGTGAAACCCTCAGCTATTTAGCAGAAGTTGCTGACGCAGCTGGGTGAACACTTTTTTTTTTCATATGAAACTGAAATGCTATATTTTGGCAAGTGAGACTTGTGAAACGTGGGTGCAGCTAACTGTCCGGTCTTGCACTTTCCCAGCCTTCGGGGCCAGCCAAACCCCCTGGGTTTTCAGCAGCCCTTTAGCTTGGCTCCGTGCAGTAGAGCTGCCTGCAGCTCTGTCATCCGAAGAGCGGGGCTCGGATCCCAGCTCTGCGGGAGTCAGCCATCCTTTCTGGGTTGTTTTTTCCCATGTTCTCCATGATGGCAACCAAGACATCCATGCAGAAAATGGGATCAAAAAAAACCCACCGAGTTTGTGTGCATAGCTGACTCTTGTTCCTGACATGCTCATGCAGCAGAAAAAGCAGCTCGGTAACCCAGTACCACTGCGTTTCGCTTTGCTTTCTGTGGCCAGCTACGTTCGTGGAAACTCATTGACTCTGAAACTGCCCTGGCTAATTAGTCCACCTCCATCTGCTATGTTTGCACGTGCAAATGTGCAGAACTAGGTATCTCTGGAGAGGCTCCACTTTAAATGGTGTGTAGCATGTTTCAGCAATTTAAGATAAACCAGCGTCATGTATTGCCATGTTTACCCTGGGATCACCTGCATAAAGATTAAAATCTTCGCAGCTGCTCTCAAATGAGTCTCTTGAGAATAAACTATAGATTCTTAGTTCCTCCCACTGGATGGTGAAAGGAAGTACCAGAAAACCAGCCGTTTTAGCTATTTTCCGCCCTGCCACAAAAGCTGGAGCCACGCAGCGCTGGAGTGTTGGTGCTTTGGCATCCTGGGCGCAAACTGCAAGCTCTTGAACGTGGGGCAGGGTGCTTGGGTTTAGAGCAAGACAGGCATGTAGGATGGTTTGTTGCTTGTTCGTTATGCTCTGCTGCACGTGAAGAATAAGCAAATGTATGTTTCCTGGAGGAAGTCAAGCGGGAAGGAGAAGCAGCAGCCGTTTCTTAGGGTGAATCTGATCGGTGACTCCCAACGCATCAGGACTTGGCTTAGTTTCCTCTCCATCCTCATGCCACCTTTGAAGTGTTAGGTCCTAAAACACCAGAAGCTGTCAAGCGATGTTGTAACCTTGTCCCATCATGTCCCTGTTGAGAGAGTAATTGCAAGTCCTGCCTGTCTGTAACATTTACAGCCTGTTTGTAGTATTTCTGTCCTGTCTGCAGGATGGCAGTACTGACTTTGTGGTTTTTTTTCTTCCCCCATTTTTAGCCACATCTATCCTGAAGAAATCCAAGCGACTAAAGAAGAACAATGTGGAGTTTGACCGGGTCACTGTGTTTTACTTCCCACGCTGCCAGGGGTTCACGAGCGTGCCTAGTCGTGGGGGCTGTACCCTGGGGATGGTGAGCAAACACAGCTCCTCCCGGCAGTTCACGCTAGCAGAGTTTTCAAAGGAGCAGGAGAATGTTCGTCGGGAGAAACTCGAAGAGAAATTAAAAGAGGAGAAGTTGGAAGCGTTGAAATGGAAAGTGAGTAGGAGCGTGGGGCTGGGTTGGTGAGGAGCGGGTGGATGTCGTTAGTTAATGGCTGTTTTTTAGTAGGAGCCTCTCTGAGACCTGGGGGCATCGGTCCTTAACCCTGCTTGGGTCTCCAGAAAGCACAGGCTCTGGTGTGGGATTTTCAGCTCAGTTTTCCACCCTTGAAAGGTGGTGGAAGAGATGCTGAACTCCATGTGTCAGGTGTCTGTCAGGTCTCTGGGGGCTCTGACACAGATTTTGGTCTTGGGGTCAGCCACCATGGGGGACAGATCTTTCCTTTCTCGTTTCTGCTGATGGCTTGGTGTCCCTGACAGGTCCCTAACACTTTGCCTGCTTTTTGCCCTCAGCTAACCATGAACGGCACGAAGGAGTCGGAGGAGGCCAACCAGCTCACTATCGAAGACATCTCCGACGACGACATCGACGTCAGCAACATGGACCTGGAGGACGGCTTCTTCCTCCAGCCCTACCCCGCCAAGAAGAGACGCGCGCTGCTGAAAGCTGTGGGGGTGAAGAAAATCGACAAGGAGGAGAAGCGGGAACTGCACAACATCCGCCTGTCCCGGGAGGACTGTGGCTGCGACTGCCGGGAGGTCTGCGACCCGGAGACCTGCAGCTGCAGCTTGGCAGGCATTAAATGTCAGGTATTGCCCTCGCCTCTGGGCACGGGGGAAAAGCTGCGGCTCCGGCTGGTGTGTACGTTAACGCAGGGGGGTTTTGAGCAAGTGGGACAGAGTTAGGGCAGCTTGTAAAATGCATCTGTTCCCACCTGCGCTCGGACTGAAGCAGGTGAGAAAAGCTCTTGGAGATGCTCCCCAGGCTGCAAGACAGACGCTGCTCGAAAGCGTCCGCTTCCCAAATCACACGTGTCACCATCCACACGCTGCCGCTGCAGCCGTGGGGATGTCCCTGAGCCTGCAGCATGAATGCACCCGCCCCGTCCGTCCCCGTGAGACCCGTACCTGCTTAGTCTCCTGTTGGAGATGAGACACGTGAGAATGTCTTCGCAAATGAAAGCTTCTTGCTCCTCACACGAGGCTGCGATTTCTCCTCCTCCCCCTTGGTTTTATTTTTAATTTTATTTTCCCTTGGTGTGTATCACAACTCCCAGCGCGCTCACGCGAACGTGGGAGTGTCAGCTGAGCGTCAGCCCACAGCTAGCTCTGCAGACCGCCTGTGAAGTGGGATAATCCCTGTATATTCAATCAGCTTATTACATTTTTCATTTTATTTTTCACGGGTGCCTGCCCAGCTGCGTTTGGGGAGCCGTATTCCCTATTCTGGGGTCCGCTCGCTCCCTCAATGCCGTGGTTGCGGGCTGGGGGTGCTGTAGGGTGGGTGTGCACAGGCAGGTGGGTGCCCACAGGACGGGTGCTCCTTGTGCGTGTCACAGCCCCCCTCTAGCGGCTGCTGGTAACAGGGACATAAAGGTGCCGCAGATGCCTGTTGAGCAACTTGTTCTTGTCTCAGCAAGGGGCAGAAGCTCATAATACGGATCAGGTATTAAATATCATGATGCAATATATAAAAACTCATGTTTGCCCCCTTATGTCTCCTTTTGGAGCATTATATCTTGCTTTTTTGGAACCGTTTTAACTTCCTTCAGTTGTACTGAAATCCAACATTTTTATTACAACACTTCAAAAGAGCAGGGTGTCTTTTACTATTATTATTACTTGGTTTAGTCTGCTTTTAAACCCCTCAGCTGTTACTTGGTTTCTCAGGGCGGGTGAGTCGCGGGCCGTTTCGATTTTGCGCCGCCGGGTTCGGTCCTAACCCTCCGCCTCTGCTTCTCCCCACGCCAGATGGATCACACCTCCTTCCCCTGCGGCTGCACCAAGGACGGCTGCGGCAACACCGAGGGCAGGATCGAGTTCAACCAGGCCCGCGTGCAGACCCACTTCATCCACACCATCATGAAGCTGGAGCTGGAGAAGCAGCAGCAGAGCAGCGAGAAGGTGGTGGAGGCTGAGCCCCCTTTTCGGGAGCGGCTCCCACCCTTGGGATGTGCAGCGGGGAAGAGCTCTTTGGAGGAGCGCGCCGTGCCGCTGGCACCCGCCTTCCAGTTCAGCCCCGACCTGGAGGCCCTGGGAGAGAACAGCTGCAGCAGTGACATGACGGACTCCTCCATCTCCTCCCACCCCAGCGAGGACCTGGAGGAGCCCTACGAGAGCCTCCCCTCCGACAAGTCCCAGTCAGACGTGGATGACGACGGCTTGGCACGCATCCTCCACTTCAACGACTCGGATGCCGAGGAAGAGGGTGGCCGCGGCCAGGATGACCTGAGCTGCTTTCACCCCGCTGACTTCTTCATCGAGGACCACGGCAGCGAGGCCAAGCCTGTCCCCGGCCATTTGTCCCACCTCTCCGAGTGCCTGGATGAGAATGCCAACCAGGATGGCGGAGGTTTGCTGGAGGATGCTGCCCACGCGCGGTGTGATGGGCTGTCCTGCTGCGCCTCATCCCCAGCCGAGCCCTGCTCCAAGAGCTACGCCGACCTCAGCCTTTCCTCTGACTCCTTGGATTTCTTCCAGTCCTTCTCGGACTATAACTTGGGACCCCTTTACAACTCCTTAAAGGAGTACGAGAACCTCGATAACTTCTCAGCGTTACAGTTTCAGTTGCCTAATTTCCCCGGCTTCCCACAAGCGGGAGATCAGGGCTCTTGTTTCTTGGAGTCCCTCATCGGTTTGTCCGAATCCGTCCCCGAAACCCCGGCCCCTTTCACAGACAATCAACTTTTGGAGGATGCCATCAAGTCATCACTGATGGAGACGGTGAAAGTGTGAAACGCCCACGTGGCTGGGGTGAGAAGGACGAGCACCGAAAGGAAAACTGAAGAACGGTCAGATGGGCAAACTTTCACCAAAAGGATGATAACGCTACTCAAAAATAAGGAGGAAAAAACAACAACAAAAAAAGACTTTCTAAGCAAACAAACTATTTTTGGTCTTTATAAAACATGGACGTTTTGACATACTGCAGCTACAATCAGTTCTCTCGCTGTTTGTGCAAAAATTTCTAAACTTTCATGACGGGGTGGGGTGGGGAGGGAGGGAAAAAGACTTTCACGTATGAATTTCCTTGTGTTTTGTATGAAAAGACCTGTTGAGAAATACTCCTCGCTAATGTTGCCAGTCGTACACACAGCCCCTTCTAGAAACGTTTCAGTGTTGCAGGAACTTTTTAAGACAACTTTTTGAAGCTGTATTTATTGTGAAAACTTGTGGTTTGCGCTAAGAGTTAGCCCAACACGCTCTTACGTTTAAATCGGACAAGGTTTACAGAAGAGATCCATACACTATATACATAATCATTCTTCATCTATTTATTACAAATTCCAGAATTTAACTAGGCACCGAAGCTTGAACTAGCATGAAACCTTATTTAAATTGGTAATACCTCAGATGTATTATGTGTACAATCATTTTTTTTTTGCATAATATATCTGTATTTATTTATTTTCTACCTGTAGTACATGAATAGCACTGTGGTTTATCAATGACCTGGAAGGGCAATAAGGTCTTCAGCAGCACCCATCGTAAAGACGACCCTGGTTTTTTTTCCCGAGTCTGAAAGGTGTTGGCTGTTTGGTCTTCACTTCACATTTCTAGAAGAGCTGAATGCAAGCGTGTGGGAGGGGAGGGATGGAGGAAATGTTGGTGCAACGTCCTTTGGTTGCTGTCAGCCCTCTAGTAGATATCATGATGGTGTCTCATCTCCATAATATCGCTATGGAGAGGAAAACAAGCAAAACCCTCAACTATTCAAGAAATAACATGAACTAGCTCTATTTAAGCAAAAAAAACCAAAACCCAAACCTTTTTCATAAATTATTTTATAATTTATTTAATTTCCTAAGGATTTGGCCATGAGATCTTTCCTGATCCATTATGGTGCCTGAATATGCAGAGGAACCCTTAGCAGTGGGCGGGGGGGTGTAATGAGAAGGACCTTTGCAGCCCTGGGGGGGCTTTGGGAGAGCAAAGCCAACAACACTGTGCTCACGCTCCTCAGCAAGTGCTCCTTAGGACTCCCCAACATCGAGGATATCGCAGCTCCAAAATCTAGTCGGTCAGACTGTTTATACTATTTTTTTTTTTTAATATAGGTAAATCGGGTAAATCAAGTAAAATAGATGGATATGAAGATTATTGGGTTATTTATCCTTTGAGTACGGTTTTAGAGGAAAGAAAAAATAACACCTGAAAACAAAGCTGAAACACTTGAGGGCTTTTGTTTTTTAAAATGAGAGAAATCGTTGTGTTTAGGAAGGATGTCGGGGGCCCTCTTGGCCTTTTGCTATTTAAATCAGTCTGAGAACATGACACTATTTGGCCGCGAGATGTAACTGGACATAAAATCTGTACGTCAGTGATACACTAAGTGCCTATGCCAGCGGTATGAAAAAAAAAAAAAAAGGCTTTAAAACCTACCGGCTTTAAATCCCCCCTTGGAAAATGTGAGATTTCGTGATGGGAGTGATTCCTGGCATTGCCGGCACCGGGGGGAGGGGTAGCTCTGGGGTCCCAGCCCCACGGCCCCAGGAGCAGGGTGCTGGTGGGAGCTCCTGAGGGGTGTGGAGTCGCCTGG